ACTCTTCTCTACTGATTCATCCATAAAAATCTAAGTTTTATCCTGCATTGACTGGATTTCATGCCTTATCTTTTCTCATCTACTCCTTCTTTTTGGTAAAGCATATCCTCCCATACCTTCTGAGAAAAAGCTCACTGGAGATAAAACTTTTGAAGATTTGCACTTCCAAAATCTCCATTTTTCTTCATGGTTAAGTGATAGTTGACTTCATATAGAATTCTATTCATATACAATTACAGGTTGCAGCCTCTGAATTTTTTTTTTTTTAATTTCATTACTTCTTTATTGTGGATTGTCACTCTAACTGTTTACCATTGAATTACTATAAACGTTTCTTTTTTTTTTTCCATGCAGAACATGCCCTCTTTAAAAATTTTTTTTTTTATTTATTCATGAAAGTCAGAGAAAGAGAGAGAGGCAGAGGCAGAGGGAGAGAAGCAAGCTCCCCACCTAGCAGGGAGCCCGATGCGGGACTCGATCCCAGGACCCGATCCCAGGACCCTGGGATCATGACCTGAGCCGAAGGCAGACGCTTAACCGTCTGAGCCACCCAGGCGCCCCGAACATGCCCTCTTTAATACCCATCACCAGGCTAACCCATCCTCCCACCCCCCTCCCCTCTAGAACCCTCAGTTTGTTTTTCAGAGTCCATCATCTCTCATGGTTCATCTCCCCCTCCGATTTCCCCCCCTTCATTCTTCCCCTCCTGCTGTCTTCTTCTTCTTCTTCTTTCTTTTTTTTTTTTTAACATATAATGTATTATTTGTTTCAGAGGTACAAATCTGTGATTCAACAGTCTTGCACAATTCACAGTGCTCATCATAGCACATACCCTCCCCAATGTCTATCTCCCAGCCACCCCATCCCTTCCGCCCCCCACCACTCCAGCAACCCTCAGTTTGTTTCCTGAGATTAAGAATTCCTCATATCAGTGAGGTCATATGATACATGTCTTTCTCTGACTGACTTTGCAGCCTCTGAATTTTTAATCTAACTTTTGTGTCTTCCAGTCTTGTGTTGAATCAATTTTTATTCTCCATTCTTAGATATGACCTAGTGTTTCCTTCTGAAAAAAACAAAACAAAACACCTTTTTCTGAGTGGTATTAAAAGAATCACAGAAATGTGTTTTGAGGTGAGGAGTGAGTGGGTTATTCAATTTTGTATTATTCATTTCTAGGAAATTTTCTTGTACTATTGCTTTGATTATTTTCTTCCCACTGTGTTCTGTCTCATTCTGCATATCTGTTAGTTAGATGTCATGGGTCGATGCTTTAACATGCTTTTCCATTCTCTCATATTTGTGTTCTTTATCCTTTCCAATAAATATACACTACTTATGTTTCATGATTTTGCTTTGAGTTCCAACTCATTCTTATTTTTTTCCAGAGGTTATATTTTTAATTGTTCCAGATCTCTGTTTTACTTGGGATATTTTTAAGCCATGAGGAGATGAAGAGATCTTGGTAACCTGGACTTTCTGAAGACCCATGAAAGGATCCACAGGAGAAAGATCTGCCTGGCCCAGAGAATCTACACTAAATGCAAAAGAATATGAGTAAGTTAAGAACTTTCTTGTCTCTTGTCTCACCTAATTTTAGGCCTTAACTCTGCCAGAAATTATGGTTAGTAGCCAGGAGTGAAAACATAAGAATGAAAGAAAGGAGAAGTCTTAATCTGAAACAATGTGAGGTTTTGATTATTATACAGGCCTGAATATGCTAATTTCAGAATGGAGACATTAGACTTCATATCCCAGGAAATGGAGAACCTTTGAAGGTTTGCTTGAAATAAGCCATGGAAAAAGCAGGGCTTTGTGTTCAGAGTGTTGACTTTTTATAGAGAGTAAGATGGATGCAGGGAGAAGCCATTCAAGGAGGAGTCCCTGGGCAGAGAGTGGTAATCTGTGTCCAGGGGAACAAATGGAGGCCTCAAAGACAAAGTCAAAAGACTCTGCATACATTCATCCTTTGTGCTTGGTTAAACACAGTTGTGAGTTGAGCCAGAGTTACTAGAAAATTAGGCATATGTCAACAAAGAAAAATCTAGGAGGCGAATCAAACAGCGAGTTGACACCAGACGTTATTTGACTTTGAGATGTCAGCAACTCTGGAGGAGTATGTCCAGTGGAGATTGAACTAGAGGCCTGGCTCCAATTTAGTTATCTTTCTGCTGCGTCAGGGAGCTATAGCCTGAGGAGTCTCTGTGTGTGCATATGTGCATGTGTGCGTGTGTGTGTGTGTTTGGTAAAATATACATAAGATAAAATTTATTATTTAAACTTTTTAAATGTACAATTCCACTGCATTAAGTACATTCACAATGTTGTAATGGCTACTCATTTGCAGAAGTCATCTCAAACAGAAACTCTGTACTCAGTAAATAATCACTCTATAAACTTCTCTCCTCCCAGCCCTGCCTTTGCAGTCTTGCTTTGTCTCACCTCACACTCTGTAGCAGCAGCTCATGAAGGAATATTTCCTGTATGAGACCTTAACTTTATTAGTTTTATATCAGAGGAACTAATGGATACCCTTGAAATGAGCAGGATTGAAGGTTTACAGAAGTAGCTAAGGAAAGGTCTCAAGGCAGGGGTTGACTGGCTGGCAGAGTGGGAAGAGCATGGGACTCTCGATCTCGGGGTCATGAGTTTGAGCCCCACATTGGGTGTACAGATAACTTAAATAAGAATAAAACTTAAAATAAAACACAAAATGTCTCATGGTGACCACCACGGTGATGCTGGGGGTTCTCTGAGTATCACGGAGATTCTTGTCCTCCTCCCCCCATTGACGGGCACCTGCCTCTCCAGTCACTGGGCCACTGACACTTAAAGGAGGTGGGGATGAAGAAATGAGGACTGCATGGGTTCTGCCTGCAGAGATATCTGTATTTTGGTCCTGGTGGCTGTGGCAAGCAGTCTGGGCATCGGTTGCTTTTGAAATCTTCTGAATTGATCTAACACAGAGCCAGGGTTGAGGAACACTTGAGGAAGACATTCTTCATCTCCACATTCAATGGTGGTATTAATCTTTTACCTTCCTGGCTGCTAATAGGGACTAAGAGAGACAGAACATGTAAACCTTCCAGGATAATGACTAGCCCATAAGAGTGCTCAGTGAATGTAAATGCTTAGTATTTTAGAAATGACAATGGTGATTGATAAAATTTATTGTTTTACATTATTAATTTATCCAAAACCACTCTGTGATATGAATAGTCTATCAGAGAAAGGCAAAGAGATAACAGAAAGATCTGTGTGTGTGTGTGAGTGTGATATTGTGTATTTCTGGGTTTGTGTGTGTGTGATTGTAAAACTGTGTACTGTGTGTGTTGTTGAGGGTGAAATGTGTGTCTGTGTATAAAGATTTGTTTCAGGGTGTGTGACTCAGAGAGCGCTTCACAAAGAGGAGACGGGAAATGGACCTTGCAGGTGAGGTTGTAGGCTGTCCTATTCAGGCAGGACATAGAGGCAAAGAGAACTCCACCTCCCTGGTACAATCGAGTGACTCAGGGTGATACATGAGTGAATGGTATGCAGACAAATATGGCTGAGCATAGAGTCCTGGGTGGTCAGGGATTGAGGCTAAGGAGTGCCCAGGGATGGAGCCATGAATGCCCTTGTGTGCAATGCAAATGGTGGGCCTTGATCCTCCCAGCAGTGTGTCTGCAGTCTGAGTATCTCAGTTTTCAAGAGCTCCATAATCCTTGTGTCCACTGAGCATAGTATGTAACTTGAATATGGAATGTATTTCACAAAAGGGGACCAATTTGAGTGTCCATATTTCTTGATGTGTTAAAAATTTATTATAAAGGCATTGCTAATAATTGATAATAGTAGATAGCTGTTACCTTCTATTTCTCAGTCAAGAGGTAGTATCACTGTCTGACTATAATTTGAGAGTTGGGTTTAACATTCAAAAACTCCTCTTACTCAAAAGGTGTGGAAACATGTAACCTTTAGTAATTCGTGGTTGTAGGAGTGAGATCAGATTCACAGTTGGAAGGGAGGGTCACTTTGGTGTCAATGAGGAATATGTATTGCAGGAAAGTATGGCAGAGCCCAGGGAGCCACATAGGAAAATTTGACCCAAGCCAGGCAGGACAGGACTGGTGTGTGATGATGGCTGTGGGGATGGCAAGGAGGGGCAGCTCAGAAGTAAGGCTGTGAAAGCAGTAGGAGCAGAATTCAGTGAACTTTTGGATGTCAGAGGGATGTGAAAACAGTAAACTTATAAAGCTCCCCAAAAGATACCCGCATCTTAATCCCTGCAACTTGCAATGCTACCTTCATGGTAGAAAAGGACTTTGTCAATGTGATAAAACTAGACTCTGACATGGCCTTATTGTCCTGAATTTTTGTGATTGTCCTCTACATGAAACCCCATATATCTTAAAGATTTTATTATTTATTTATTTATTTATTTATTTGAGAGAGAGAGAGAGAGAGACCTAGAGCCTGAGTAGAGGAAGGGGTGGGGGAGGTGCAGAGGGAGAGGGAAAAGCAGACTCTCCTCAGAGCAGGGAGCTGGAAGCAGGGATGGATCCTGGGATCCAGGATCATGCCCTGAGTCGAAGGCTGAGCCACCCATGCGCCCCACAACCCCATATATTTTATATGAAAAAGACAAAGGGAGATTGACAGGCACAGAAAAAGAGAAAGCAGTGTGACCTCATAGGGCAGAGATCAGAGTGATGGGACACAAGATAAGGAATGATGGTTTCCAGCCATCAAAGCTGGAAGCAACCATGACTAGATTTTCACCTCAATCTTCCAGAGGTAGCGTGGCCCTCCTGACACAATAATTTCTGCAAAGTGTTACAGATTTTGAATCCTGTCATCCAAATGTTGAGAAAATAATTGGTGTCAGCCACTAAACGTACGGTAGTGTTTTGCAGCAGCCAGTGGAAACTAATCAGGTGCCTCATGGCTTGGAGTCTATTGAGAAAGGAAGGCTCATGGACGGTAGAGCAGGCTGCAGGCAGGCAATGTGTACAGTTTTACACATTCACCTGAAGTAACTGTGGAGTCCTGTATGGAGTTTTCCAGATGGCAGCTGGATACTCTTTCTGGAGCTCTCAGGAGAATGTGAGGGAAAAAGCATTAACCTGAGGTGTTGATGAGTGGTCCAGGTGTCGGGCAATGTGCATGTGCAGACTCAAAAAGAGTTAACTGAAGGGTGAACCCTGGAGATTCACTAAAAATTGAGAAGTAGATGGAAAACAAAGTATACCAGAGAATTCATAACATTGAATCCAGACTGAAGGTGTGAGGACCAAGTAGGTTTTTGTGGTTGTGATAAGGACACAATATTAGTGATGCTGCTGGTTGAGAACCATGTTGAGAATTAGGCTGTGGGTATCCTTCTTACAAAACCATAGCAGGAATTTTTTTTTTTATCATTTATTACCCTGAAACTTCATTTTTGCTGGTGGCCATGTGAATGGGAAATCTATAAAGTGATGCAGGACAATTCCTGAGCAAATATTTCCTCTTTTGGTCCCTGCTCCCCAGGCTGCCATGGGTAACTGGACATTAGGTCTCTGAAATTAACTACTGACAACACCCAATGTCCACTGCATGACAAAGAGCACCCCAACTCAAGGCTGGAGACTTTGGGATAATTAGAAGACATTTATAGTAGTGCAAAGCAAGTGATTTATTGAAGCAAGATGTTGAAACCTTTACATTTTCCAGAAGAATAAGTGATAATTGCAAGACAGACATACTGTATACAAGGTTCATATGGGACATTTTTTCAGGATTTCCCCCTGAAACAGATAAAGGAGAGAGAAGTTCAGTTATGCTGTTCCTGGGGATGACACCTTAACACAGACTCTACTCATAAGACATTGTCTGTGAAATTTGAACCAACAAAAGGCAAGTAGAATGGGCACAAGACAGGAAACCAGGGAGGATGGTAAACTAAATACACCTGACACAATTACAACAAACGATGCAAATCAGGAAAAATCCATTTTCATAGTCTGGCAAATAAAGCCTGAGGTGACCCAAGAGTAAGACTCATGTTTCTAATGGAAGGAGGAGCAACCCAGTATTTTTTTTTCTCTGCTATCCCAGGGTGGAGGACTCTAATTTTTCACTGCAGTGGGAAGACTGGGGTGAGAGATTGGAACAGGGGTGGGAGGGGACTTTGGGAATACTGCTTTCAGGAGAGTCCCAGGTTCATGGTGTGTAAATTCAACCAGATGGCACATGTCTTCTCAGCACTGAAAACCCAGCCTCCATGGGCATTTATGACTGAATCTGATGAGCCAAATCCAGCAGTGGATGGGCTGAGAGACACCTTTAACTATCTTATTTCTAGACAAAGATATAATTTAAGTGTTTTACCCTCACATGTGACTACAGGAGATAGAGGAAGGAGGGTTTCTGGACATGGGTACGATAAGGGTGAGCACTGTAGGCAGGTAGTGGTGAAGTGGGCTGAGGTAGGGGGGTAGGTCTTGGCTCTGCAGAAGCTGGCACAGTGCCCAGCCAGCTGCCCTCCATGCTGACAGAGGACCAGGTTCCCTCCCTTCCAGCTGTCTCCCCATTCAACACTCCCAACATGCCCATGGGATTCTGCTGTGACTGTGTCCACTCAGAGGGGGAGAACTCGCCGTCAGGAAAGCTTCCAAGTAAGGAGGCAGTCAGGCTTTGGCCCTTCAACATCACTGTTTGGGGCTCCTGGTGTCCTTTCCCTCAGGACACTGTGGGGAACCTGGCACCCAGGGAAGTGACCTGAAGAGGAGGAAGGTGCCCAGATGCTCCAGGCTGCCTTAGTGTAGCTCCCCAGGTGTAATGTCATCCACCCTGTGGCCACCTTTCACCCTATCAGTGGTGAGCAAGGAGGAAGATACCTCCACCACCTGTGCCCCTGACAGAGCAGCACCCTTACCGCCCTCCTGGCTGCTCAGCTGAGCAGAAGCCTCTATGCACAAAGAAGAAAGGAATTACCAATGTGTTTGCAATTAGTATTCTATTCCCAAGGAATATTTTATCTGTGCAGGACTTCACTTCCAACTTGGCCTCAATGACTTCTTGAGATGCGTTAAATTTCCTAACTGTTTTCTTGTAGATGGCTGCAGGTTGAAAGAGAAAGCTCGACAAATCATCTACTAAGGCTGGACAGGCAAACGCATTGGCTGGTGAAGAAAAAGAAATACAATCGATATATTGGAAATCACATTTCCCCCATGGCTTCCTGATGTTAGAACTAGACAGAAACCCAAAAGGTTGTATGATCTCATCCCATTATAGTGCCAAGGACAATGGGTGAATAGGGAAACTGTGACTTCATACTCAAGAGCAAACAGAGGAGCTAAGACTAGAATATCAGCTTACTGATCCTTAGTTCAGTTTTTATCCTTTTTAAATCACATTCCCTCCTTTCCAAAACTCTCCTGGTTTGATGGAATTTACTTTCTTTATAATTCACACAATTACGTTTTGCCTGAATAGAATGACATCTTGTTTTTGTCTTGGATTTTGGGTTAGAGGAGATTTTAAAATCAATTTTTAACTGAATGGTAGAGTCAGATCTTTCCAGAGAGCAGAGAAGCCGTGGGTCAATCTGCAGAAGAGCAGGTCACACTCTTTATATGGTGGAAGATGACAGCTTGAGACTAAAGAATTGGATTATGTCATTGGATGCAGATATGGTTAAAAAGCTAAATTCATACATACAAACAAAACCCCCAGGTAATCAGTTTGAACACATTTGAAGCTTATACACAAAGTTATGACTGGCTTTTTTATTCCTGCACGGATGGACAGAATTCCTTAGAGAGGGTGAGAGACAGGGAATGGGGCTCTTTCCTAACTCCAATGGAACTGTGGCGAGACTTAAAGTGACCACTTTTCTTAATGTGGATTCTCTAACAATCCACATCTTTGTAACCATGCTGTAGCCAGGGAAGTACCCTATTAGGATCTTTTCTGACCCCTGATCAGATGTCAAACTATGCAAAGAATTTGAGAGGTTTACATCAGAGGCAATAGAGGGAAAGAGGAGGATGTTTAGGTAGATGAAATAAAGATGGAAGAAGACTTCGGTCAGTATCAAGGATAAGAAGACATACAAAAATATTGTGGAATAGATAGCCAGAATTAATCTAGATAAACAGAAATCCCATTCCTCAGAGTGTACTCATTCTATTACAAAATACTGGGAGCACTCCGAAGAAAACCAGAAGGACTGGTAGATACGGTGAGATCTACTCACTAGCAGATTTAGTGAGTGCTGCTTATTCCCAGAGCTGCCTTGAAGATTTATTATCAGAGACTAAGAGAACACTAGCACTTCTGGAAGTGAGAACTCTCCCCAAACCATTCCAGCTGTAACATTTAAGTCTGAATCCATGAGTGAAAATGCTGTGGACTCAACTGGCACCTGAAAAACTCTGGGAAGGAGAATGTCTGGAAACTCCTAGACATCAGCCTGTAGCCAAACCTAGAGCCTTGTCACAGTTAATCTCAGTTCATTGCTGTAGCTACTCTAGTGGTATCTGTCAAACCCAAGGATGAGAAGAGACTTGAAGAGATTAAACATTTTGTTGAAGGCCAAAGCACTGGTAAGTGGCAAGGCCATGATTCACACTAAATCTTATGACTTCTTGCTTCTGAAATACAGATCACAGATAAGGAGAGAGTCTTCAGTGGAAAACTCTTAAAATTTGCCCACAAGAATTTGTTGTAAAACTTCCAGGTTGTTGTAACTGACAAAAGAACCTTGAGCTTGGGAGATGAGGTGGGGAGGAGGAGGGCTAGTACACAAGTGTAGGAAAAAGAGGAGAGCCACTTAAGTTCACCTAGTTCAGAGAAGGGTACTCACCAGGGCTGGTGCCTGTCTGATGAGAAATGATACTCACCCTCATAGCAGTAAAGAGCCAGAATGACCAGCAGGACACTCAGGAACAACCTCATTTTGTATTTTCCTGAGTTTTCAGCTTTATTGAAAGGTGAGCAATTAGGAGCTGAATTCAGGAGACTGGGGAGCCCAGAGCTACTTATACCTAGAGAGCCTCCCTGGTGCTGCCCAAATAAACATGTGGTTAGGCCATGGGCCTGGCTTCCAGCCCTAGCTTCCTCATTGAGTGCTCATGCCATCCATCAGTGTCACAGACTCCAATGACTTCATCAAAATTCCTGTTCATAGCACTGCTGGCTGCATGCACCTCTCCTTTGTAGCAAAAATGGAGGTTGTAGTTTTACAAATCTATAGTCAGTTAATTGATGCAAGCCTGCCCACCCCCCCCCGCCCCCGGGCATTAGCTCCTGACATGCTGGGTCAACTTCTGGTTTTGCTCATCTTTACTTAGCATAATGCCTGGCATACAGGAAAGGAAAAGCAAATATACTTGGGATAAATGATGAATATGAATCACCAAACAACTAAACTTGGTTAAGGTGTATCTTCAGTGTGAATAGATGCCCAGTATGCCAAGTATCCCTTTGGGCAGGTGAGGGAGAAAGGTTAGTAGCATAGTGACCCCAGTGAGAAGAATGAGTGGTTTTCGGTATCCCAAGAGAAGACAATGCCAAGAGGAAGACTACCTCCCCAATACTAATTTCCTATTCTAAGCTAATATTTTTAAAAATATCAAAAGATATTTAAAATCAAATCAGGCGCTATATGGAGAAAAAGAAGCTCCTCATTAGTTTTACTTGTCAACTGGAAGGATCACACCTCGGTGTCATCAGGATCCAGGCAATAGATCTCCCCATACTGGCTCTTCCTCTGCCTCTCCCCAATTATGAGCATTCTGCTCTGTGGAAACACAGGGGAGCTGTGGAAAATTCTTACTAACGGCATGGGAAGGTCAGTCTGGTTATCCAGAGGAGCATATGGGAGAGCCATTCAAGTGTATATAGAATTTTGACTTGAAGAAATGGCTGGAGGAGGGATCCCAAGGAACAGCATGAGGGGAGACAAGAGGGCATAAACCATGTTCCTTGGGAATATCAGGTACCTAGGTTACCCTGAAACATACAATACATACAACAGTGCATGGTGGCAGAAGAAAGGCATTGTGACTGGAGAGACAGGATGGGCCAAATCAAGGAGAGTTTCCATTGTACTCTGTGGGATGTGGGGGTAGAATGGTGGGTGGGGTGAGACACATCTAGGTTTATTGGCACTAGTGCTTTCATGCTGGGTTTTAGATCTCTCACCAAAATCACATGGGTTTTTCACACCCATTATGATGGCTACTGTAAAAAAAAGAGAGAGAGAGAAAGAACAAGTGTTGGCAGGGATGTGGAGCAATAGGAACCCTTGTGCATTTTGGTGGGAATGTAAAATGGTGCAGCCTCTGAGGAAAAAAGCCTCAAAATCCCTCCAAAAATTAAAAGGAAAGTTAATATGATCAATTGAGTTCACCTCTCAGTACCTGTGCAAAAGAATCGAAAGTAGGGTCTCAAACACATATTTACATGCCCATATTTATAGCAGCATTATCCACAATAGCCAAAAGGTGGAAAGAACCCAGTGTTCATGGGTAGATGAATAGATAAAGAAAATATGGTACATACATATAATGTAGGATTATTCACATTCAGCCATATAAAGCAAGGAAAGCTTGTCAAGTGCTACAGCATGAGTGATACTTGAGGACTGTAGACTAAGGGAAAGAAGCCAGTAAAAAGAGAAAATAGATCAATGGAACAGAATAGAGAGCCCAGAAATGGACCCTCAACTCTATGGTCACCTAATCTTCGACAAAGCAGGAAAGAATGTCCAATGGAAAAAAAAGTCTCTTCAACAAATGGTGGTGGGAAAATTGGACAGCCACATGCAGAAGAATGAAACTGGACCATTTCCTTACACCACACACAAAAATAGACTC